TTGTAAATGTAGATAAATAAAGTTCTTTATTATTATTATTATTAATAATAATAATAGTGAGGTCCTCTTTCCAACAACAAAATAATTAACAGAATCGGTTCACAAATTATGCCAAGTTATCGCGTAACATACATACTAATAAGAACAGTCGAATTGAGAACCTCCTCCTTTTTTTAAAGTAGGTTAATTATACAATTTCTAACGTTTTACATTTTTTTCTGATTGTTAATCGATTGCCTATTGTTACTTAAAATGAAAGCCAGTACTAGCAAAACAGCTCCAACGTCCGGGCATTAAAGCTGCCTTTCCACCAGAGATGTGCGAGGTAGTTAGACGGTGCGAGGATGCGTTACGGACTCTTTTCAGCTATGCGCGTGCGGGGTACGGTGTGTTGGGGTGAGCGTTGACGAAGTGTCAGTGTCAGGTAGTCATACTTTCAGTAGCTCTAGTTTCCTACTCCGTTTTGCACACATTCCTCGCCCGCATTCCTCGCACACATCACTTGCTATTTTGTATGTACAAAAACTTAGGCTCCGCTAACCCTTCTCCACCGGAGCTGCGTTAAGAGAGGCTTGGGAAACGAATTAATCCTATTGGTGGATTTTATCCTCGCACACAGCCTCGCTACGTCGCACATCTCTGGTGGAAAGGCAGCCTAAGTGCACGTAGGCTGTGATGTCATTAAGATTTCAAGATGACCCATAGATGTATCGGTCGGGTCGCCATCGTGCTTATAGGTAAAATAAATAAATTAATACCTGGAAAAGAAGTCCCTTGCTGATCCAGGCAGTTCCATTGATATTTCCTGTATTGGGCCCTCCTGGTTGATGATAGAGAGCAGCATCTGCGCCGCTGCGTATATGTCTTGGGCTTTGGTCTGCCTACCGACAAGTTTATAAGGATAACTGGGTAATTGGGCACCAATGTTTAGTGATAGGGTTATTTTTACAAATAAAAAAACTATTCTTTAAAAGTGCATCTGCAAAAGAGCCGCCCTTTATCGCCTGTAGACATTTATTGAACCAACTGGCCCACATGATATTTTATAATAACTTTTTTATATAAAAAAACTGACATCAAATGTTCTTGGAATTACAATTACGTGATTACCGGAAAGTGAGCGAAATCGGATTCATCCCCTAGTATTTAAATCCCCCAAATTTAAATGGGAACAGAACGAGGTATAGTTGAAGAAATATTATTTGTACCAATGAATGTTATCTCTTGGAACGGCTTATCTTTTCTATTACAACAGGGTAATAACCATTAATCATTCTTTTACTCAAAGCGTACACGGGTTTAACGATCTTAGTCTATCGTACCAGTCACGGGTGCCCTAAATGCTTTTTCTGAATTCTAGTTTTCAATTATTTCTTTACTCAACAGTCGTATTTTTTTAACAGTAGGCACTTCGTAAAATACGGACCGCCTTTCTTACTAATTCAACAAGTTATTTACGCATAAAGATTATCCATTTTAGAATTAAATGGCAATGCGTAATGGTATTTAAAGTAGTTGTTTGCACTATACAGATGACACGTGGGTTACCGAGACGGTTCAACCTTTTGTTCTATTGTATTCTAAAGATGAAGCGATATGATATAATAATATTTCGACAAGTATACCCTCTTTCCAACAAAAAAACAAGAATCATCAAAATCGGTTCTCAGATCGCATAACATATAAACAAACAAAAAATATTACAGTCGAAATGAGAACCTCCTCTTTTTTTAAGTCGGTTATCGATGCTTGTCCGTAGGCAGCCAGGCAGGTGTTTTGGGTATTATAATGAAATCCTCAATGAATTATTTTCATTTCTTTGACTGAAATGTATTTATTTTAAAAATTAAAAAAAAAACAATGCGTATTGTAGCAAGATATGTCGCCGAATGACCCTTGATTTCCCCTCGCGCCGCTCGCCTCATCCCGCCGTGGTCCGAGATCGCGCTGCTGCATGATGGCGTTATGCGTTAACATCGGTTAAAAATAGACAACTATACAGGATGTATCAATCGTACAATAGTAATATTAGTAAAAGTACTGCCACCTTACAGCCACATGAGACTTGTCAACTTATGCCTCAGGGTGACTTGCGCAGTGGCGGTACCCCCTCTTTGTGATTTGAAGCTCTAAGTATGGGCAGGCTTGTGGCTTACTACCAGGCGTAGTTCGTCCCGTCACGTGGTATTCCAAAAAAAAGCATCATTAGGTCTTTTAAAACAACACTGTCCTCTAAGCAAAAAAGTTGGTGTCCAATAATAAATGCACAAGCCTGAAATTCTATTACTGTTAAATATACAATACACTAGTATATTCGAAGTTGTACGTAAGTTGATTATTTTTTCTTTAAAATCAATTTTTACCTTTTTTTTTAAATTTTATACCACAATAGCAGATAAATTATAGTGTTCGGTTTTTTGGTAGTTTAATATCTGCTGTAACAGTGTCCTTAGATAGGTAGTAAATAATATGACTATTGCCCTTTTTTCATTTATTTCTCAACGTAGTTTTTCTTTTTCACTTTTTTTCAACAAAGCAGTGATCTGTGCCATACCTCTGCGTTCACCGGACCTAAATCCACTGAGTTTTTTGAGGATGCCTTTTAAGGTAAACAAACCCATTTCTTTAGAAATAGTGTACAGTAGTAGATCAGATCCTTGGAAGACTCACGCAGCCATTATTCATTGATTACCAGACACATGTAATAATTTTTTTTTCCTTTTTTTATCCTGCAACCAGCCTTCCTGGCTATAAACAGACGGGTTGTATGAAGTTCATAATGGAAAGGTGCTACCCCCAGTGGAGCGCTGCCCTGTAGGTTGTGTAGTCAGGTATTTTACTGACTGTATGTAATAATTACCTAATGTAAATGATGTGTACAATTATTGTCAGATATTAAATACATATGATATATAGGAAATGAAACTATTTTTCCACAACAAACCGACGTTTCGGGCCGTTTACAGGTCCCATGGTCACGGTTTTGTTTGAAAAAACAAATAATACGCGATTTAAACTCGGAAAAATAGTTTCATTTCCTATGTGTAACAATCGCGAAAACCTAAGAAATCGATATACATATGATATAGTTTTAAGTATTATTTTTTGTAATATGTTATCTGTTCTTGTATTGTATTACAAGTTTGAATGTAAGAATGTGGTCACTAAAAAGCTATTGACTTTGTCATATGAGGAAACCGAAAACCTCCTTCATGTTCCATTATAGTTAATTCCCACACACACAAACACACACTCTCACTCACACACTCACACACACACACAACACACACTCTCACACACACACAACAAAATTCTTGCCCTCTAGTCTTCAATTTTATTTATATTTATAATTTTTTTATTTGTATAAACCTAATTTTGAGTAACTTTCTCTCATAGCAATCATTCGTGACGCAGTCAATATTGTTTTTTTGATACTTTATCCGTATGCGGAGGCCTGGAGACCTATAGCACAGGGTATCCTAGTTTAGGCTCCAGCCTTCACAGACAACAAATGTTTTATTACTTAAGAATGTTTAATATGGTTGAAATTGTGTGTGAAGGAAATAAAATTTATTATTATTATTATTATTATTAAATAAAAAACAAAACTTACCTATCACAATAACTGTCTTCTTCGAACATCTCACTCAATCGAGAGTCCAAAGCCACACCAACCAACTTGACGACACCACAATGGTCCAAAAACACATTTTCGCTTCTCACATCCCGATGTTGTACACTGACACTGTGTAGTTCGTGTAGCGCACTAAAAACACCGAGACCCAAATGCCTAACAAACTTCAAAACTTCGTACTTATCACTGAATTTAAAGAATTTGTTTTTCAAAAATTTAACTGACGTGCCTAGAATGAAATCTCTGAATATATATACACTCTGTTTCACTGTACGCTTCGTAGGTTCTTTACACGTTTCCATAGCTATATAAGGCACTAAGGAGGTATGTTTTAACCGACATATTGCTTTGAAATCTTGATGTAAAGCTGTTAGTTGCCGGTTGCGAGTTTGGAAGTCTGTAGCGGGGTTCAGCGACCATTTTTTGGCGATCATGCGCTCGCCTGTTTCGTCATCTATCGCTAGGTAAGTTGTGGAGCCATTTGATGAGTGCCCTGTAGAAGTCAAAATACAGTTTGTTGTAACAATAAATAATATAAAATAAAATAATAGACACCTACACCAATAATATAAATTAATAAAAAAAGAGAAACAATTTTGTGCACAATTTTGCGTTCATAATGTGTATTGTTTTGGGCTAGAATGACGTCACAGAGCCCATAAAACAAGATCTTATTGTCAACACCATTCGATTCGGTTAAAGGCGATTGGTATGAATTTTTATTGTAGTGAATGAGCACTATACTTTTTCTAAGAAATTGTATTACATTTTTTATTTTACTTCGCTGCATTTTGATTATGTTTTGTAGGCTAATTTCGTTCTATATATACTATTATTGTTTATATTAGTTACAATCATATTGTCCCTTGACATTATATTCTAACATTGGTAATTTAATTTTTTTTTGTTTGGCTTTTTGCCCACATGCAATCGGCCTTATATGAGACCACAAGCATTTAATATTTGATATATTTTGGACATCAGGCTTACCCTTTCAACGTCGTGTTGCCTTTACATAGAAAACTATTCAGGTCACTTAGTTGAATGCAAAACGTTAGTATGAGTGGCTATTTCTTTCTTTATAGGACTTAACTAAGATTAGTTATTTACTCAATAGGCATTTAAAGATATTGGTGGATTTCATGTATTTTAGTAACCATGGAATGTTTAAAAGAACATCACACGAGTGTTTCAAGTATGAGTGGCTATTTCTTTCTTTATAGGACTTAACTAAGATTAGTTATTTACTCAATAGGCATTTAAAGATATTGGTGGATTTCATGTATTTTAGTAACCATGGAATGTTTAAAAAAACATCACACGAGTGTTTCAATGCCTAATTATGTACAGTTACATACACTGCTTTATCTATACATATATATCTTATCTATATCTATACACATATACATCACAGAGAGCTTATAATATGTGTGTAGATAAAGCAGTGTATGTAACTGTACATAATTAGGCATTAAAACACTCGTGTGATGTTTTTATGAAACTCGCTTGTCGACTCGTTTCATAAGCCCACACTCGTATTTTAATGCCTTTCATTATGTAACAGTCACATAAACTACTATTATGAATTTTGTGTGTAGATAAACAATTTACCTAAACAATTGCCAATATAAACTTTCTTATTGTTCCTCTGTGTCACTCTTAGGACTTGAGCGCCTTTGCTGTTGCACGTGCAAGGTACTTCTTTGCGGGCACGTACGACTTTCTTTGCCGGAGACACTCTATCGTCTGCATAACTGAAATTCAGATTCATTGTGTTAAATGCAGTTTAAAAAGCTTCATATTGAAATGTACATTACCCAATGTTCGTCTTACCACATCCATGCATCCATACTAAGGACTTGAGTATGATTCAAAGCACTAGAAATCATACTCAAGTCTTTGCAATTAGGGTCGTATTTCCAGTGCTTGAAATCATGCTCAAGTCTGCTCAAATCCTGACTTGAGCATTGAGTAGTGTTCTGGAATACGGCCCTAAGATCGATATTTAGGGTCCACTGAAAATCAGCGTCACAGCCTTGTCCCGGCGGTGACATTAGCTGAGTGGATCCTATGACATACGCCACAGCCGCACACATAACATCTACTTAGTACAGCAAAAGTGTTGACCAGCTTTGTGGTCGCATAATTATTTATTGCCAAGATTTTATTTTTAATTAATTTTATTCAGTTTTCTTTTTTGTTATTCATTTTCTGTTTGTTTTAATTTAGTTTGTTTTAGTTTTAATTTAGTTCTGTTTTATTTTAATTTTTTTTTTTCACTTTTAATTGTTTACTGTTTATTATTGTGTTGTGGTGTTATGTAATAAATGTATTCTATTCTATTCTATTCTATATTAAGATCTTACTTAATAGTAATAACAAGTATATTACAGGAACGCACCCATAGTTACAAAATGTAAATTAAATAGGTGTGATTTAAAAGTAAGAAGTAAAACAGTGAATTAAATAACATGTGACATTGCTAATTACAAATTAAAAAATATAATCATATATTTTTGTGAAAATACTGCACTAGTGTATTATTAACCGACTTCAAAAAAGGAGGAGGTTCTCAATTCATCTTTTTTTGGTATATATATTACGCGATAACTCTGGTTACCATTCTAGACTGCCACACAGAGGTCCCGGGTTCGATTTTGGGGCCGGGAGACATATTTGTATGGCCTACATTTATTTCTCACGTGGGTTTGGGTGTAAATTGTGGTTGTCTATGTGTGTGTCCACTCGGCTCCCGCAATACAGGGTTTTCCCTAGTGCGGGGCTATGAGCGCGTGCGTTATTTATTTATTTATGCATTATTACATGCGGAGAGAGTGGAAAATTGCATGAAAAATATTCATCACAAAATCATTTAGTTCTTCCATTTTTATTAATATGGATTTCCGATAAGCAACGTTTAAATTTGTAAATTATTTAAAACGATTTTTAGCTCGATTAACCGTCTCAATCTGGGGCATTGAAAATGTTAACTTACTAAACAAGTTCTGGAGTATCTCCCTGCCCCTCGCTGCTGTTCTCCTGGCTGCAACTCGACCGATGCACTTTCTGCCTGCCCGCCTTTTGCAAGATCTCTTGCCGTTTTTGAACCTCATCTTTAATTTTCTGACGCTGAAACAGAAGGATAGCTTCAAATAAGTCTCTAGCGAAACCCTGTGACGCACACAGACAACCACAAATTACACCCAAACTCACGAGATACATAAATGCAAATAAAGAAAGATATAAAAGTAAACATATTTCATAGTAAACATTTAAAAGGGACCACTACTGAGGTACCCTCTTTTCAACAAAAAAAAGAATCGTCAAAATCTGTTCACAAATGTCGCAGTTGACATACATACAAAAAAACATACATTCGAAGCCTCGTCCTTTTTAAAAGTCGGTTAAAAAGTATACAAGTAACATACCTCTTCATTTTCTTTAACCTGTTTGTCCAGCTGCTTTAGTTTTTCCTGTTCATTCTTTTGATTCACCATCTCATCGTAGAACGACAATGTAGGTTTATTGTGGTCGTGTAGAAATTGCTAAAAATATAATGGTATATGTTTATTGGCTATACCCGTCGCTAATGACGAAATAAAACATTGTGATAGAACCCGATTGTTGAAGGTTCACAGGCCTTGGACAGCTTGTAAAGTCTCAACCCGCATTAATCAAGTGTAGAAGAGTATGGGTTAAATAAACCATTCTTAGACGTGACTCATGCCCATCAGATGGACATAATATTTTGCATTTTATTCAATAATAATAATTTATATTATTTATTTATTTAGACATTTATTTTAGGCCACATGACCCATATAATATATACTTCAAGGACTAACATACATACAATATAATATAACAATAAAATAAACTAAATAACTAATCCACACGTATTGCACTTGTCGGCGACGTGTGGCGCAATCTGGTGTCGTGTGGAATCGACGACAATAACAATACACCAGACAACAAATTACCTCTTAAATTAGGATTTAATAGAAATTCTCAAAAAACTAAAATTGACTACTTTGGAATAACGAAGGTGATCTCATAAAGACTTATAAAATACTCAAAGGGTACTACAATGTGCGTAACATGAAGGATATGTACCTAACGAATCATAACTGCCAATGGAGAGGTCACTAGTTTATAAATATATCTAACTGGGTGATGAAATATCATAGATTTCTCATAGATGGCGCTACGGCTAAAAAGTCGTTGAAAAACCAAATACAAAGATACGACGCAAGCACATAGAAAAATTCGTGAGGTCCGCTGGTGCGTTCCGTGGCTTAGTTGGTAGCGTCTAGCACGGCATGCTAGAAGACATCCGTTCCAAATCCGGCAGGATCGAAGGATTTTTTCTGAGTATTCGATCTTTGTATTAATAATTGTAACAGAAAAATATTTTAAATAATCAAAATGAACCCGAGCGGACGCTTCAATTCTTTAACGAATGACTCATAGTTGTGCAACTCGAGAACATCGCGAGATTCTAACACACATTCTAACTGCGCTGTATTACTATTATTACAATATGATGATAGTAATTACAAACATAATTTAGAGAGGTCTTTGGCCACATCTTTTAAGGAAAAAAACCATTGTCTATTTCTGTTCACAACGATTTTGCTAACATAGCAACTCTGCAACCGTGGTAGTGTAGTCTAAACTATCGATTACTAATTAAAAACACTAAATATAAACGTTATATTTAGGGACCTGTAAAGGGCCCGAAACGTCGGTTTGTTTGAAAAAACAAATATACGCGATTTAAATCCGGAAAAATAGTTTTATTTCCTATGTGTAACAATCGCGAAAACCTAAGAACTCGATATATAAACGTTATACTTAACAGTAATACCTGTGCGTGAGTAGCTAGTTGGAATATCATCACTTCTCCACAAAGCTCAGACGCCAATTTGTCCAATTCAGCCAGAAGTTTTGCACCGTTCTCAACGGACAACCCGTGTATTTTGTTTATAGAGATTGTTGGCGGCCTGAAAACAGTAAAAAAAGGTTTGTATACATATATAGGTAGGCAGGTACAAAGACCAGCAATTAAAAACCGATTTTTATAGCAAATGTACTTTGCAATAATAACATATTACATTGAGGAATGTTCTAGAAATAAAATGAATATAATACAGGTTTATTAAATAGCAGAATTAATTTTAATACTTACTATTTAATAACATATTAAATAAAAATTAAAAACCCCAGAAACAAAATAATGTATTACAAAAAGTTCTATAAAGTCACCATCCGTCAGCTGTTACCCTCCTTTATACAGTCAATCTAATGCGCGTGATCAGGGGCGTACAGGATTGCACGCGGGAAAGCCTGCACGCGCTAACGTGCGCAATTACCTAATTGAAATTTTTAAAGCTTAGCGTTTTTTCTCATGTTCGTTTTTAACCGACTTTAAAAAAAAGGAGGTGGTGCTCAATTCGACTGGTTTTTTTGGTATCTATGTTACGCGATAACTCCTCCTCTTCCTTAAAAGTTTGTGAAATTACAACTACACACATCAAAAGTGTCTAGGGATCAAGTGAATATTTTTGAAATAAAAATTATTTAAGCAATATTTACCAAATCCAGTCTTCCAGGACGACTTCTTACTTTAAAGGCCCATTTAGATGGAGAGAGTTTCTCATCTTGAAGATGCGATTATCGAAAGAATATAAAAAAGTTTCCTCGTCTAAACATTCGCGATTATCGACCGTCCACGTGAGCGATAATCTCCTCGCCTTTGAATATTGAACGTCTCCGTGTAAACAGAACTCGAAAGCAAAAATCGTATTTCGAGTTTCTGTGCCAGCCGTTTCTACCACGAGTGCAGTGCGCGAGGGTGTTTTGATTATCACAGCTTTTCTAAGACAAGAATTAATGGAACGAGGTCGAAAAAAAAAATTTCAAAAACGGTGAGTGAGTGAGTGCCTCTGTGGTCGAATATAGCGTGGGCAATATAGTATTTAGGGTGCTCTCGTAACGAATGTGGGACTCCTTTCTAAATCCAGGATGAAAAGTCGTGCCCGCACTTTTCAAATAATGGCAAGTTGGGTATCGTTTTTGAGGTATTTGGGGGTGCTCATTACGAACATAGCATTTATTTCTAAATCCAAGATGGCCGACACGACTTTTCAAGTAAATGTTAATTTTCAATAAACACTCCTCACTAACTCCCCACTCACTCCCTACTCACTCACTCACTCACTCTCCACTCACTCACTCACTCACCACTCACTCACTCACCACTCACTCACTCACTCACTTACCACGCACTCACACACGCACTCACTCACTCACTCAGTCACTCACGCACTCACTCGCCCTATAAATTTATCATAATAAAGGCACATTTAGATGGAGAGAGTTTCTCGTCTCGTAGATGCGATTATCGAAAGAATATAAAAAACTTTCCTCGTCTAAACATTCGCGATTATCGACCGTCCACGTGAGCGATAATCTCCTCGCCTTTCAATATTGAACGTCTCCGTGTAAACAGAACTCGAAAGCAAAAATCGTATTTCGAGTATGTGTCAGCCGTTTCTACCACGAGTGCAGTGCGCGAGGGTGTTTAGATTATCACTGCTTTTCTAAGACAAGAATTAATGGAACGAGGGCGAAAAAAAAATTTCAAATAACGGTGAGTGAGTGAGTGAGTGCCTCTGTGGTCGAATATAGCGTGGGCAATATAGCATTTAGGGTGCTCTCGTAACGAATATGGCACTCCTTTCTAAATCCAGGAGGAAAAGTCGTGCTCGCACTTTTCAAATAATGGCAAGTTGGGTATCGTTTTTGAGGTATTTGAGGGTGCTCATTACGAACATAGCATTTATTTCTAAATCCAAGATGGCCGACACGACTTTTCAAGCAAATGTACTTTTCAATAAACACTCCTCACTAACTCCCCACTCACTCACTCCCCACTCACTCACTCCCCATTCACTCCCTACTCACTCCCTACTCACTCACTCACTCACTCACTCACTCACTCACCCACTCACTCACTCACTCACTCACTCACCAATCACTCACTCACTCACTCACCACTCACTCACTCACCACTCACTCACTCACTCACCACTCACTAACTCACTCACTCACTCACTCACTCACCACTAACTCACTCACCACTCACTCACTCACCACTCACTCACGCATGCACGCACGCCTGTGCGCACTCACGCACGCACGCACTCACTCACTCAGTCACTCACGCACTCACTCACGCACTCACTCGCCCTATAAATTTATCATAATTGTCAGTTTTTGTTTGTGTCAGTAGTTATAAAATTAAAAAAAAAAAATGATAAATCAAAATTATATTTCTGTACAGTGCAATGAACTTAATATTATCAGCAGTTTCAAATTTGAATGGTTTTTGCGTCATTTTGATATATCCATAGTCATACCGCAGTAATCACTGAACTCGAATGGCAATTCTCGCACTCAAAACGGTTCGAACCGATTTGTACGATAATCGTATGAACTTGAAAAAATGTCATACGAGATCGTGTTTAGACAAGTCGAAAACTCGTAAGCAAGAATCTCCTTACTACATACTTCTCCGTGTAAACAGTTGAGGAGGCGATTAAGTTGCTTACGAATATCGTATGACATAATCGTAGGCAAGATTTTAATTCTTGCCTGAATGTAAACATTATGATACGATTATCTTATGGCGATTATTGCTTACGATAATCGCCTACGAGTTTTCGTCACGAAGCGTGCGAGAAACTCTCCCCATCTAAATGGGCCTTAATGCTTATGTTTTATTTAACCGCTTACCCCTATATTTAATTAAAATAAACTAAAATTGATGTTTTTGCAAATTGTGGGAAAAACTCAAATTAACGGCGTCAATTAAATGACAAAAAAATGGCGAAAATGATGATTTTGCTCATTTTTATTGTAAAGATAAGAAAATTAATAATCTGTATTTCCACCATTAACACGAATCACACAATTACAGCGATTTGGCATGCTTAAGATGAGTTCATCAAAATCACTTTGAGGAATGGCCGCCCATGTGTTTTGTAACAAGTCAAAATATTGTTGTAGAGTATGTACGGTATGCATACTCGGCACAGCTCTTCTTTGAAGCATATCCCATGCGTGCTCAATTGGATTGAGGTCTGGCGATTGAGCAGGCCACGGCAGAACGTTGATACGAGCTTCGGCAAGAATGCGTGTTACGACTCTAGCCGTGTGTGGACGTGCGTTGTCATGCATTAGTTGAAATGAATCACCCAACTGGCCTCGCAACGGGATGATAACATCTGAAACAATCCTCTCTGCGTAAACTTGAGCATTGAGGTTACCCCTGATCCAAATGAGATCGGTTCTTCCGCCGATCCAAATACCGGCCCATATCATTATTGTTCCCCCACCATATGGATGAACTTCCTGACAATATCTCAAACGTTAATGACGTCCAGACGTTCTCCAAACTCGAGTACGTCTTGTATCCGGTCTCATACCGAAGCGGGATTCATCCGAAAAGCACACATAGCGCCAGTCTTCTTCCTCCCAGTTTCTGTGTTCGCGAGCCCATCGTAAACGGGTCCTGCGATTGCAGGGTGTAATAGGTGGAACTCTGAGCGGCCTTCGGGATCGCAAACCCACTTCACGTAAACGATTTCGGATTGTTTGATCGCTTATTAGCAAGCCTGAGGAGCTGTGGAGCCTCGTAACCAACATCATGGCGGTCATGGTACGATTCCGTCGAGCAGTATTTTGGATATACCGGTCCTGTCTGCGAGTCGTGATGCGAGATCGTCCTCCATGTCGCTCGGCCACGCTGCCCGTCATGCGATAGCGCGTCCAGAGGCGACTTATGACGCTCTGTGTAGTGTTAAGAGTGAAAGCCACAGCACGTTGCCTGGAACCAGCTTCCAACATTCCGACGGCTCGCATCATCACTTCTCGGGTTAAATGATGTCGTCTCTCCATAATAATGTAAATTGTTTCGGTTCCGATGCAGATATTGTAATGATTTTGTCAAAACGCTATAACTCATTTTTATACAAAACCACATTGACAATCGATTTTCTTCTTATTATCGAATTTTAAACAATATTCCTTATTTAAATGTTAAAACTCACTAAAAAGTATCAATAGCGATACAAAAAAGTTAATATAATTAACCCTAATTGCAGCAATACTCTTAAACGTACTTGATCCCTAGACACTTTTGATGTGTGTATTTGCCAAGTTTTATTGAAATCGGTCACCGGAAAGTGCGCGAACCCGGATACACCAAACTACATATATACACAAACCCGGATAAACTCCAAATTTAAAAGAGGCTAATACTGAGGTACCTTTTTTCCAACAAAAAAATAATCATCGATATCGGTTTACAAATGCCGTAGTAATTAGCGTAACATACACACATAAAAATGTTTTTTGAAGTCAATTAAAAAGGAAATAAAATATTCACTTTAGTTATAAAGTATCACATGTAGGTATCACAGTTATGTGATACCTACACTAACTGAGAGGAACCGATTATCTTTGAACAATTGTTCTTCCAACCAACCAAATTGAATTAGCCTTCAAATAAAATTTAAAAAAACACATAGAAAATGAAACTATTTTTCCGGATTTTACAGGTACCGTGACCATGGGAAAGGGCCCGAAACTTTGGTTTGTTTTAAAAACAAATATACGCGATTTAAATCCAGAAAACTAGTTTCACTCCCTAAAACACATTGAGATCAGTATATCTGTTTGGAAGCTATGATGTCACTAGACAGACATACACTTACACAGACAAAGGCTATAAACGTATCTCCCCTCTAGTCCGCGTTGGGGATTAAAAAGTCACTTACGTATAAGGATAGTTATTGCTACACTCAAAGTGCAAAGTGACGGAACAGTGCACGCCCTGGACATCCGAATTGTGCAACGGGTGCAGCGTTAACAAGAGGTCTAGAGGTCTCCATACTTTCCATGCAAGAGTCTCCCGGGTATCGGTAACTGCTTCTCCATATATTGCCTAAAATAGAGCCAATAAAATATTTGTTATCACAGAATGGTACAGGCAGAGTATATTTAATTTTTTTTATAACATCAAGTGACGGGACGAACAAGTCGAGCGCCTGAGCTCACGCCTGTCCATAACAATTGCAGTGCCACTCAGAGCTTTAAGACGCAAAGATCTGAGGGGTACTGCCACTGCGCCCGAGCCATAAGTTGACACACCAGCATCATTACCCTTCAAAACCGGAACACTGTAATGCTAACATTACTGATTAGCGGCAGAATTTGGTAAGTTAGCAAGAACTCTCTCACAAGGAGCTCTACTGCTGCTATAAACTTTAAATAATGCATATAGAGTTAGTTATTTCTTGATATATATGTGTAATATGATTGTTGATTTTGCCCTCTGACATAATTGGCGTACCGGTTATTGTTTGTTAATGTTTTGGTTTAACATGTTATTTATGTCAAAAAGTGTCATTGTGGCAATCAAGGATATTTGTATTTGTACTATTTTATTTTTTATCTATACACTATTGGTAGGTCAATGCTATACACATATCATAAACTCCCTATAATGTGTTCAAAAATCGCAAATTACGACCAGCATAAAGGTGAACTGTTTTGTCAGAACAAATTTCTTATCTGTGAAAATATTATTATTGCTTTAAAATAACATCGAATTCGATGTTATTATTACATTCAAATTTCGAAAATCTCTGAAAAACAAACAATTTGATTGGACCTGAATTCTAATATCAGTCGAGATGAAGTTTTATTCGAAATGAAATGTCAATAGCAAACAATTTTGACAATTTCACACGTTACTTGATATCGAACGATATGATAGTTGGGACCGATTCTGGTTTGTCTATGAATTAAAAATAAAAACTACGGTTGTGTGATATGCGTGAGAACAGTTTTTATTTGCCGCCATTTCGCCAGTCGTAACATGCGGTTCCTGAACACATTACAGAGAGCTTATAATATGTGTGTAGATAAAGCAGTGTATGTAACTGTATATAATTAGGCATTAAAACACACGTGAGATAATTTTATGAAACTCGCCAGTCGGCTTCTTTCATACACCCTCACTCGTATTTTACTATCTTTCGTTATGTAATAGTCACATAAACTACTCTTTATTTACTTTGCAAATGCCTTGTTGCAAATTTACACCTATTACAATGCAACATAATAATAAATAAAAGTTTAAAAGAATTCAGTTTATATTCCGTAGCTATGCCATAAATAAGTAGTGGATAATACCTCCTTCTGAAATACCAGACCGAAAAAAAGAAAGTAACAAAAACAAAATAGTTTATATTTTTACTCACAAGCGATTGCTAGTTTATACATAAAAAAATGGAACAAAATACAATATTTCTGGGATTTTAGAGGGAGGTATTTTCCACTCTATGTGTATAATTTTCTTGAAGCGAGGTACATATTGCGCTTATTTCTATCTCTGTCCATACGTGTATTGGTTACATAAAAGGCAGTGACAGAGTAAACATGAGGTATTTTTATGAAGTTGTTGTTTTTCCATTTTTAGGCAGTAGGTACAGGGTCAAGAGCATGTCAAGCTTATCAGTAAAGGTTTAAATTTAACTGTATGCCCTGTATACCCTACTGCTGTATATTTGTTTTTCTTTGTTTTTTCTTCAACAGGACGTTGGTGATGGAAAAAAATACTAGCTTTTATAAAACAACCGTGCCGTCATTTTGAACCCTGACATTGGCAGAATCATTCTAATAAATCGATAGAGCCATTAAAAATTGGAATTGGTATATTTCTTTAGTAGTGTTTGTTCTTATAATTTGTTCAATGTTCAATTTATATGCGAACTTATATTTTTTATGTAATAAAAATCCCATTAGTTCTGTTGTGTAATGTTTTATTATCAAATCTCTCTTTATCATCGTTAAGCACTTCATGTTCTTTGCAAAATGTGTAATTCGTTAATGGCATTTGAGTACTCCTCTTTAAATAATATATACTTGTATTTTGTCTATGAATTTTTCTAAAATATAAAAAATAAAATAAATAAATATTACAATAGCAAATACAAATATTTAGTTGCAAATGAAATTGCATGCCTATTTTTAATTCCTATTTATAAAAAAATTTAAATCTAGTTTAATTTTCTGATGATTATTATTAGCAGTAGCTCCTTTTGAAGGAGTATGTTCAGGGAAGTACTGACGCCCTTCCTATTTGTGTCACGAAGCAGTAATGAGAGCATTGCTGTCAGGATTTGAGCAGACTTGAGTATGATTTCAAGCACTGGAAATACAATCCTAATGGCAAGGACTTGAGTATGATTTTCAGTGCTCACTGCAATACTCAAGTCCTGACTTGAGTATTGAGTACAGTTCTGGAATATGACCCTGAGAGGCACTGCAACTGTTGTGGACAGTGTTTGTATGCCTCATGTGTGGTTGGTGACAAAGACACTATATTTCATTTGTTAGTACTGTCAACTTCTACACTACCAGTGTTTCCATAAGTAAATGTGTTGCGAATTGTAAATTAATTTGAAATTCCGAGCTTCAAATTATAGATTTTGTATTCTGGGAGTATTATGCTTTTAGGTAGTAACTCTTGAAGTAAGCAGTTTTTGGAAGATTTATTATAGAAAGCATTGATACATCTTAACCACCTAAGACCCAATAAACTACAATGGGAATAGTGCTAAATGTCCAATGCGCTTTAAAATGTACTAAATACTATTACATGCTTCAGGCCCAAGCAAGTGTGCACTCAGTTTTGGATGAAAAACATATTTTACTAGATACCTTGTGGTCACATATGTCTAGAATATACTATACAGGGTGACAGGTTAAGTCGACGTAGATCCTTTAGGGGCTTGTAGTTTCCACCATTTCTGACTGATATGACTATGAAACACCCTACCCTAAACTTAACTCTTTTCAAGATATTTGACTTTAAGGGTTTTTTATAAAAATTGCCAATTTTATGTCTATTAGGTTACATACTTC